GAAAAATATTGTTGAAAATTCGATGGAATATACTAACGATTTTCCAACAAATTATATGTTAATAATTTGCGACAAATTTCTAACTAATATAATTTGTCGGTTTATATTCCAACGATTTCTACACAACTATTTATTTCACACGCTCATATTCCAACAAAATATGATTAGTTAGAAATTAATCGGAAAACATGATTTCCAACAATTTTTTAACTAATATGACTGTTGGAATACAGATGTTTTCTTGTAGTGAAGGAAGCAATAATGGTAAACTTGGGTAGACTATGGTCGAGTAGAAGAATGTAATAGCTTGTAGCGAACCTTAATAGCTTATATTGAACCTTCATTGTATGCTTGAACCTTATTTTAATTGAGTAGTGGCTTATGTTTAGTGTAATCGAAATAAAACGCTGAAATATGACTAAGTATAGAAAAAGTTAGAAATGACCGAGACTGGCCACGAAGTGGTCGAGTTAAATCTTTATTGCGGTTTGGAAAATCGGGTCAGGGGGTTTCAATTTGGTATTAGAGCGTGTTCGATTCTGGGATAAGTCTTTTAGCATAAATAGATTAGTGGGTAAACCATCCTTCCAATATGTCTCGCGGTAAGAGGACGCGCATATCTGGTGGAAAGCTGTGGTGCCTCACCGAGATAGTCAGGTTATTAGTTGGGAAACCTTTAGTGTAGAATTCAGGAAGAAGTACTTCCCACGTGAAGCTTTCATCTGACTGGAAGGTGCTTTTATAGACCTTCAGCAAGGATCTATGACTATGAGGGAGTATAAGGCAGATTTTAACCAACTCAAAAAGTATGGTGTCCGTGACTTGGAAGATGATGATAACCAGGTCTGCAGGTTCATACGCGGTTTGCGAGTGGAGCTAAGCAATCGTTGGCTGATTCATAGATCTTGCTATTGCTGATTGTCTAAGGTGAGTGTGTGTCTCTTGTTACATGTTTAGAGTCATTATCTATCATAGATTCACTTAGTCTTTGACTGTTTAAACTGTTCTTACTGATTCTGTTATTATTCAATACTTTGCTTGATAATAGTAAGGCTAGTAAGCCGTAAAGGCCTTGTGTGACGTAATCAAGGCCTTGTGTGCCGAGGCTTTGTGAGCCGTATAAGACTGTTTAAGAATTACTGATTATTTGAATGGACTGTTGGATGTGATTTCTTAATTGTGGCTTATTTTGATGGGATGACTGCTCACACTAAGCAATTTGTTTGCTTATGCCTCCTTTTATGGATGCAGGTATCAATTTATCCCGTGAAGGAGACTGATCTGGACCGCAGAACTAAGGCAAGGAAGGTATGATGCTAAACTTGGATAGAATATGGACGAGTGAAACAATATAATAGCTTATAGTGAAGCTTAATAGCTTACAATGAACCTTCATTGTATGCTTGAACCTCGTTTTTATCTAAGTAATTGTTTATGTTTAAAAACGGCTTGACTATAATCGAGATAAAACGCTGAAATATGACTATGTATGGAAAAAGTTAGAAATGACCGAGACCGGCCAGAAAGTGGTCGAGTTAAATCCTTATTGGGGTTCGGAAAATCGGGTATGGCGTTTCATAATGCTCACTGCACTCTTTTCCCCTTTATTATGGCTTTTCCTATTGGATTTTCCTAGTACGACTTTTAACGAGGCATCATCCTGCGCGCTTTAGAAAAAGTTTGTATAATGGTCACCCAAGGGGGAGTGTTATAAGTAATAGGATTCAGAAAACAACTTTTGTTGATGATACAAATATGAAATCTTCTTCCAAAGCACAAAGTAGCAAACTCTCAAATTAAAAAAGTGTGAAAAACAATAAAACTCTAGATGGTGGCTCCTCTGGAATGATGATGATGATATTTTGGTGGCTCCTCGTATTTATATAGGTGAAGGGGTCAGCTATGATAAAAAAAAATTAAAGTTATTGATGAAATTTCCAACTCCAACGAAATGTAAACTTTCCATGTTTACCACAGGTCCAACCGATCGTTCAGATGTGTTAAATGATCGATTAGCTAGGCCATTCGATTGATCGGTTTTATGTCAGGTCCGTTGGTCAGTCAGTTGGTAGACTTCTGAAGATGGTCACAGGTCCGTGTTTATTGCCTCCAAAATGCAGTAACAAAGATGATGCGGTCATCAAACCAGTAGCTGAACCAGAACTCCATCAAGCATGCCATTTTAGCCACCAAGGATCCGAGCATGACACATGTACCTTTCATGGACCATATCTAGCCAACCAGGACGAGTGAGCAGAAAAGTCAACATGTTCCAGAAGCTTGAGTCAATAAAGATTCACGACGAAGTTGAATCATCCCAATTATGATTCTGATAAAGAAGTTATTTAACTTACAAAACCGGTGATCTCGAGCTTAACCTAATTTGACATACACGCTTTAAATGGAGAATACCGACCGGGCCGGGATGAACTATGCTACAAACTGGATTGTTATAGAATCATAATCCATCAGATAAACTCCTCGGATTGGATTCACAGCATACCGGTTCACACTTGAAATTTATTAATCCTACAAGTATGTGGACTTGTTTCAGAGTCAACTACACGACTAGGCCAGATATTGAGCTGCACAGCCCAACTCCGCAACATTCTCGATCCGAGACCACCTGAAGATTATTATTGGGTCTCTCCGGTTTCCAGCAAGCCCAAGAACCAATGATAGGCCCATCGGTATTCCAAGGTATGCTCGATCTCCCAAAACCGGTCAACTTGGTTCTATTCTGGAAAAGTTCTACTCAAGATGCATTCTTCACATTTGTTCGTCTCATAAAGAACCCCCACCACCTTAGACACTTTTCAAGACACAAGATTTCAATCTTCAAAAACATAAAAGCATGATCAACTTATTCATTCGCATTCACACCAAAAATCCTTTAAGATTAGCTTTTTGATCATTCTAATTAATCTATTTTATTTAAATTTGAATATTTTTTAAAAAATGTATTTATTATCAAAATCATATCTTATAAGAGCTTTAAAAGCTCACTAATACCATTGTAAATGGTGGACCATTTTTGAAATTGAAATATAAAGTTTTTACAAAGAATTCTTGTGAGATTTGTTCATTAGAGATTGGGTGGAACCATTTCTCTTATGTTCTTAAGTTTTTTGTGCAATTAATCACTTGAGTATTTGTGTAGTGACTTGCATCCTTCGCAAGGAATAACCCTTGGGATCCTGTCTCTAACCATGATGGTCGTGGAGTCGATCAGACCCGTGTGTAGACTCCGGTGGATTCCGAGTCTTATCTCAAAAGAAGAACTAGTCGTTGGTCATTGGTGGCACCAAGCGTGAATGTGTCCATATGTGGTAAGTAGAAGTGTGAAAGGATTCGTCTGATCATGTGGGTGCTGGTGCATGGGAAGATGTTTTCTAACTCTCCTGGATGGTTAGATGGATCTCCTGAATACTTAGATGTCTCTCCTGGTCGCCAACGTCTGGTTTGTAAGTGTTTAAACTCTTGAGCTTCCAAATAAAGCAAGCTGAGCATCCTCCGGCGTAGAAGTTGAGTAACTTTTGAATCGTAATGAAGTTTGGCATGAAACCAGTTCGATGCTGTCCTCTGATGAGTAAAGTTTCCAAAAATTTGCATCTTCAATAATTCAATAAATGACCTCATATGTCTCTGTCGGGTCCATAGGTAGTCTGCCAAATTGTATCTTCAATATCCTCTACATATGAACTCTTTTTTAGCTAATTCTTCTTCGTGGTGAACTCTGGATGAGTTGAGTATGCTCTCCAAGTGTTTGTTGAGTTTGAATGTTTGATATTATCCTCCATTTGAGTTGAACTTAACTCACATGTCTCTTTAGCTCTCTTCAACTTCATATTCTCCTCCTCATGACTCCTGGTTCTGTTCTCTCTTATACTAAGAAGTGAATTCTAAGGCTGTTATAAATCTGAATTTCATCCAAAAAAAATTGTTGTCTTACATGATGAGCGATATTAAGCAAAACAACTTCTAGACTATTGGCTCTAATACATTAGCTCTAATACATTGGCTCTAATATCACTATAATACATTGTGGCTGATGTGCAAAGAAACCCAATAAAGATCTCTAATAGACTAATAGTTCCAAGACATAATAAGTAAGTGATATCTATTTTACCTGTAGAAGCCAACATCACCTCGTCACCACCAGGATGGTCGTACTTTGTCACATCATAGACTTATATATCAATAAAATGAAAACTAAAGAAAAATATAAACATCGAATACATGCAAAGGATCTATCAAATTATTGTCCTTAATTCCACACAATCAGAGACTAGGTTAAGTGGTTTTCAACTTTCCACACATCAAATTTAAAGGAAATGTCACTGGCTTTGGCTTATCCACATATCCGATATCAAACAACGATGGAATACTTTCTTAGGCAGCACCAATATTCTCACATCCAAATAAAAATCTACCAAGAGTACGATTTAGCAAACAAAGCAAAATTCTCAGTGATTTAGACATAGCAAAGAAACATAAATCTCACAAAGTAGATCAGATCTATGTTACAATCAAAAGAACCAGACAGTGGGATCTAATTTTATTCGAACGGATCAGACAAGCAGAGGGATACTATAAAACATACACTGAAAAATGGCTAAAGGATCTGGGCGGCAAGAAATAGCCAGCAAAAAGACTAAGGACAAAGCGCAAATCGAATCAGAATTTTGATCACACTGAGAGAGAGAATAATAAGAGATCGGAGTTAAGACCTTGCCATCAATGACGATTCAACAACCTTGGGTGGTACTGTGCTGAGAAACCTCCACAAAGGTAAAAACTTTGTCGTCTCCCACCATCTTCAATGAACTAAATAATATTAAAAGATATGAAAGTTTTCTGGTGGAAAGATGAGAGAAAGAATAAAGGTTTATTTGGAGAGAATATGAGAAGCCGAGGAAATATTGCCAGATTTAAAATCATAGGTTGCATGCAAATTCCTAGACTCTTCGCTCTCTCATAGAATGTAAAATGTTTAAAGTGAACATTTGCTGCCTCCCCTGAACTCTGACCATAGTTCTTGTCTTATTGACTTAGCCCATCAATTACCTTCAGCTGGAAGCCATCCTTTTAAATTTTTCAACTACCTGACCAAACACTTGAACTTTCATAGCGTATTAGTTTGGGTTCAGGCCGGAAGCTTTGGTTCCAACCTCACTTACCTGTGTTGGAAACAAAAGACCATTAAGAGAGCACTAAAAGAGCTAAACAGAGAGAATTTTTTCCAAATACAAAAGAAAGTTAGTGAGGCTAATTGTTTGTTACAAGATGTGCAGATACAAGCCCTTCAGGCGCCGTCCACAGCCCTTTTTCAGCAAAAGCGCGATTTTCATGATGATTGGAACTTCCTAAGACAAATTGAGGAGTGTTAGTTCAGGCAAAAATCAAGGATCAATTGGCTTAACGAGGGAGATCTAAAAACTACTTACTTTCATCGAGTTTGTCAAACTCGTGCAAGCTTCAAAGCTATTAGATCTTTCCTCTTGAGCTCTGGTGTAGTGCTAGCAGACCCTCTCGAAATGAGTTATCATGCCATAAAGCACTTCAAGTCTATTTTGGGGCCAGACATTCTCCTTTCTCTTGATATTCACTCCCCAGTTTATTGGTTTGAGTCGCTCTCTCTGTTTAGATGCTCTCCGTCCCAGATTCAATCCCTCTTTTTGTGCCTTTGGTGATTGAGATTACATCTGTTCTGTTCAAACTAAATCCTAACAAGGCCCCAGATCCTGATGGTCTCTCATCTGGATTCTATAAGGCAGCTTGGGATATTGTGGGAGAGGAAGTCACCTCCTCCATTGTTCACTTCTTCCAATTGGCCTTCATGCATGCTTCTACCAATTCAACAACACTTGCCTTAGTTCCAAAGCGTCCAGGAGCCTCTCTGATGACTGACTATCGACCTATATCTAGCCTCAACACTTTGTATAATGTCATCTCTAGGCTTCTGGTATCTCATCTTAAACCTTTGCTTCGTGCTCTCATTCTCCCTATTCAAACTGCGTTTGTGAAAGATAGGTTATTAGTTGAGAATACAGTTTTAGCTGGAGAACTAGTTAATAGACATCATAAAGGACTGGGTACAAAAATAATCACCGTTTAAGTTGACATAGCTAAGGCGTTTGATAGTGTTTCCTGGGACTTTCTGTTGAACTGCCTTGAGAGCTTGATGTTGCCTCTCCAGTACATGAGCTGGATTAAAGCTTGTATCTGCACAACAAACTTCACAGTAGGTTACAATGGAACAGTACAAGGCTATTTCAAAGGTAAAAGAGGTCTAAGGAAAGAAGACCCCCTTTCTCCTTACCTCTTTCTTATAGCTATGAATTGCTTGTCTCTGATGCTAAATAAGGCGGCTGAGGAGGGACGGTTTGGATATCATCGTAAATGTGCATCTTCAAAACTCACTCATCTCTGCTTTGCTGATGATGGTACAAGATTGGGAATCACTCCACAACCTTAGGACAAAGGTGACCAAGAACTGATCAACAAGCTGATTGGCGGAAGTGGTTGAAGGTAGCAATGGTGGTGGAAGTTTGATTGACTCTCTCAATCCTTGAGATGACTGACTCACTCAGCCTTTGGAGAACTAGACCTGCTTGAATCTCACAAACAAATCCAATCCTATAATCTATAGAATCAGATGAATCTCTCAAATGAAACTAAAGACAATTTTTTAAAAAACAAAGACACTCTTTGAATAAAATGAAAATACTTTGTATTATACTTGTTTTTAGATTTAAATGGGTGACTAAAAATGATACAATGAAGGAGCTTATATATTGCTCGTCCCTAGACAGACCAAACGGTCATATAGCTAATAAGGCATCTAAATAACTCTAAAATAAATGTAAAGGATCAAAGGGAAAAGGCTTTCAAATATAATATTGCTGTTAGGCTTAAATGAGCTTGGATTAAGGTAGACTCGAGATTCCTTGTATCTGGACAGCTTGGGATAGATGTTAGGCTCCTGAGGAAGCTTCTGATTATTTGAATAAGTCTTCAGAACGCAGCAGCAAATGCAATAGAGCCATTCGGTAGTTACTCCTCCAAATGTGAATGCATCCGAGAAAGGAAAGTATTCAAGCAAGAGGATCCGCCTGATCCTCTGAGTACTGGTGCATCTAAGGACGTATTTCGAGGCTTCTAGATGGTTGAGATTATCTCCTGGTCACCAAAGATATGTTTGCAATCTCTCAAACTCGATAGATTCTAAATAAGGTAAGTGTAGCATCCTCTGGTTTAGAAACTCAATAACTTTGACATCAGAACCGATAATGATGTGAATCCAATTCTCCCCGATCCTCTGATGAATCAAGATTGCATAAAAAGTCTGTTCGTAGCTTAATTCCTCCTGTTCGGTAGGAAACCTCCAATAACAGCTCGCATGTCCAATTTGGAAACGTTCTGGTTCACCCGACTTTGAACTTGAATAACTTTTAAACCATGGCGAATGTTGGCATGAATCCAATTTTACTCGGTTCTATGTAAGTTAAGTTTTCAATACATCTGGTCTTGTTGCTTGATTCGTCGGCGTTTCGCCTGAATGAATTGATTAGTGGTCGTATGTCTCCATCGGGTCCATTGAAGATCTTCCAAGTTGTATTTTCAATATCTTCTTCATATGAGCTCATTTTGAGCTTATTCTTCTTCGAGGTGAACTCTAGGTGAGTTTAGTATTCTTTCCAAGTCCTGACTGAGTCTGAATGCATGGAGGGATTAATTTCTAGAAAGAACAAATCATGCAAGATAGTCTCTCATTTATTCATGATATATTCTCCAAAGGAGTTCGTCTCTCCTTTACCCTTGGCTAGACCATCATGTCCATTGATCATCTGCTCCAATTTTGATGGTATTCTCGATATTGTATCAGATGATCTCTTGATCTTTATGGATGGTTCACTGCAGTCGGTCCAGAACGTGTTTCATGAGTTTGAGCTTTGGTCGGGTCTTGCAATTAGTGTTCAAAAGTCGAGCCTATTTGCTTCTGGTGTATCTCAAGCTGAGACTGATCTCATCTCTTTCTCCACTGGAATTCCTCAGGGGTTTCTCCCAGTCTGTTACCTAGGTGTCCCATTATGCACCAATAAGTTAAGCATCAGTAACTGTGAAATGTTAATTCACCAAGTCACGTCACGGGTTACCTCTTGGAGTGTGAAGTCCCTTTCTTTTGCAGGGCGGGTTCTTCTTATTAAAACGGTGATTGCTGGTATCTCTTCCTTCTGGTACTCCTCCATCATTCTCCCTAAGGCGTGTATTATGCGTATCAACTCGCTCTGTAGCATATTTCTGTGGAAAGGCAACATAGAAGGTCATCACTCAGCAAGAGTCTCTTGGGAGACGATAACTAAAACAAAGAGTCAAGGAGGTTTGGGGATATGAGAACTTACAACTTGAAATAGGGCTTGCTGTCTAAAGCTGATTTGGCTGCACTTCTTCCAAGCGGGTTCAGGAAAGAGGTGCTGAAGGGCTGTTTAAACGATTTCTGGATTGTGAGGCCGCACAAGGATTGGTCGTGGCTGGCAAACAAGCTTCTGAAAAGTTAGATATGATATTTTCCCTTGGATCAAGCTGAGGGTTGAGAGTGGTCAGAACTGCAGGTTCTGGTCTGATAACTGGTCTCCTTTTGGCAACATTGAGGATTACCTCCAAGGAAATCGGCACAATAGATTGGGTATCTCTCAGTCTGCCTTGCTCTCAAGTCTTCAAACCATGGCAACTGGAATTTGCCTCCTGCAGGTTCAGAAAATCCAGTAAACTTACAAGCTTTTCTCTCTACAATATCCTTATCTGAGGAAGAAGACTGCTATGAATAGGAGATTAACGAAATTGTGAGCTCAAAATACAGCACAGGGTAAATCTACGGGAAACTGAGAGAGGAGTCAGAGCTTGTACATAGGGATACAATCGTCTGGAATGTTGGAGGCATCCCAAAACAGAACTTCTTGGCTTGGTTGTTAATCTTGACCCGATGCCCCACAAAGGATCGAATTATTGGTTGGGTTTTCTCTACGGATCCTGCGTGCATCCTATGTAACTCAACTAATGAGAGTAGAGATCACCTCTTATTTGACTGTGACTTCAGTTGGTTGATTTGGGAGAATGTGGCTCGTCAATGCAATCTGCAACTAGTTAGGGATTGGCATGACTCGATTTCGCAGATGGAGACTCTATATGGTGGAAATCTGACAAAGAGATTGACTCTTCTAGGTTGGCAAGCAACGATCTATTGGATATAGACTGAACAAAATAGACGACTGCACAGGCAACTTTATCGCACCGCCGACTATTTATTCCATCTCATAGACCATCAGATTCGAAACAGAATTGCGAGCTACAGGGATCATAATCCATCTCTATCCTCTAAGCTTCTCCAGTTATGGTTCCCGACAGAAGCTTCTCGATAAAATCGATGGTGACGACTTCATCGACTTAACCAGGCTGGCGGTTCGGGTTACTACCCTTTTTATTGGGCTTGGTTCAATTAAGATCTGTTTGTTTATCTTTCAATTATGTTTAAGAACTGGGCATTTGCTCGAAACAATTATAGCCCATTTGGGTTTGTAATCTTTTTATTTCTCCAGCAATTAATATGAAAGCTTTTTTTATAAAAAAAAAAAAAAACATTTCGGACGCAATAATGTACTTAATTATATATGACATGTGTCCCTTCCATATTTGCTGACGTGTCAAGCTGTTGGAAAGAGTTATACCATATTCATATATATGATTTTTTTTGTCAACTGTTCATATATATGATTTTTTTTAATTTAGTATCGATTATTTATTATTAAGTGTTATTAGTTTATTAACCTATTAAAAATTAAAAATAAAATAGTTAAAGATAGATATATTTTTCCTATAAAAGTATAAAAATTAGGTAATAGCATGTACCATGTACGGGTTGAAATAATTATTATATATTTAAATTAATATAATTTTACAATCAAATAATATAATACAATTGATTTTATATAAATTTTAAGTTTATTTTTATATATTTTCTAAGAATAATTATGGTGATGACATATAAGAAAAATGACATCATTGTAAATAATTTATTAAATTAAACAAATTTTGCTAATTTTTTTTATAACTAAAATACATATTTATTATCAAGAATTGGTAAGATCTGAATACAAAACGTCTGTTATAGGATAAAATTTATAAATGAAATTTACATCATATATAAGGAGGTGCATGATGAGCTAATAGGTGAGCTACTTTATTACACTATAGGTGAGCTACTTTATTACACTCTCGTTTTACACGAGTCAAAGAAACTTTCTTAAATTTAGATAACCAAAGACGAATATTGGAAATAAGATTAGTAACAGTAATGTCTTGGTCCCCATTCTGGATTAATTTGATTAAAGTCTAGCAGTCTCCCATCAAAACAGATATTGTCAATACCAATTCGTCTTGTAGTGCATAATGCCGCCATTAGTGCTTTTCCTTCAGCCTCAAGGCTTTATATTGCCGAAACTAATGGTGTAGATTCATCTGAAATGTTATGACCCTGAAAGTCATGTATGATCTCTCCTGCTTTAGTCTGGTGAGATTATGGGTTATAGGTTGCGTCGTAATTGCATTTAACTGAGAAAGATTGTGGGCAAATCCAATAATCTGGTTCATGTATAGATGAAGAAGTAGAATGGGAGGCCGAACTGGTCGAAGTGGATTTAGTCCATTCATTTACCTCTACTACAGCTTTGTGGACATCTTTGGGTCTTTCGTTTTTGAAGATAAGATTATTCCGAGATTTTCAAATCCGCCAAAGAATCCAGAAAGAATCGATCAATCTGAGGGAATGTAGTTATTGCTTGAGTATCAAGTATCTGGCCAATAATTTCATCAGTAGAAAGAATAGGGATTGTAATGAAATTAAATAGTGTATTGGATGCTCGCCAGGTAGTCAGAGAAACTGGACATTTGAATAATAAATGGTGTATTGTTTCAGGTTTTAAGCCACATCGAGAACATGTTTTGTCCAGAAGCACACCACGACTACATAATCGTGTAGTAGTACTAATAGCTTTAGAAAGAATTTTTCAAAGGAAATGATTTATTTTAGGCATAATAGGTAGCTTCCATATTTGTATTTTAGGTAGTGGATCACCATATGGTATTGCAAGTGCATTCATTTGGTGTTGAGGTAGATGGTGTGGGAAATGATTGCCTGATCTTATAGAGTATTTGCCAATTTTGGTGTAATTCCATCGGATCCTATCCTCTCTGTTCTCTTATCCAAGATAAAGTGTTTTAGCAAGTGCACAATCGGGCGAAATCAGGGTTGCTGTCAAAGTAGAGTTGTTCCAGTGTTGATATTCACCATTTGTTGTAATAAGATCCTTTACGAGGAGATTGCTATTCATATTATCACTATGAGCCGGCCAAGGATGATGAGATGGTAGCCAATTATCTTTCAACACTCTTGATATAAGATCAAGGGGATGATCTTATAAATGGTGGGTGAATCAGTGAGAACAAGGAGCTGGTCTCAAGACTCTTTCTACTTGTTCAAAGGATGATCAAAATGGACGGTTGTGGGATCAAACATGCTGGACTTAGGTCTCTTTCAGGCTAGATCGATGGATGGAATGGATAGATGGGTTGACTGATTCCACGGGCCATGGTTTATGTTTCTAACTTGCAAGGGTTCTTTCTCACATGGATAGTAAGAAACAACATGAAAACTCAAGTTTCTGATTCCACAAAATACTCAAAAACTCGCAAGAACACAAGAGAAGTGATTTCACACAATCTCTAATGTACAAAGTAACAAAATGTAAGTTTTTTCGAGAAAATTCTCTTTTATTTTCCAAAATTTTCAACTTATTTTACAAATGAGAATACATGAGCTTTTCTAGCCTTTTACAAAGAATCTTTACAATAAATTACACTTACATTAAATTATATACATGTAATCAAAAAGAGAAAAATAAGCTAAATCAAACAAAAGTCTTCTTGCCACCAATTTCGCTTAAGACTTGAATGAGAATCCTTTGATTTTGGGAAATGATGAAGACCAGATTCTAATAATAAATTTTATAATGAAAATATTTTATTTAGTGTATTTTTATATTATATCAACACTGGTGTTACCACCATTTCCAATGATCTTTCTAGACCCTTTTTTAATGAGATAAAGTCCACAGAGAATAGAAGACCAGCCATATGATTGGTATTTCTTATTTTAAGCATCAAACAAGTGTTCATCTGGATAATATCTTGCTTTGTAAAGTCTTGACAACAGACAATGGGTTCAAGCAAATGCCAGGCTTGTTTATCAAGCAATGCATCGTTAAATTTAGCAAAATTCTTAGTATACTGAAGGCATTTTCAAGCCACCCATGGAATCCCTTTAGAGTCGGGATTATTCGCCCACCAAAATCGAGTAAGGAGGCTGTCAAGTTCAGATGTTATCTGGGTCCATAATTTGAAGCTGGTCATGGAATATACAGACATAGTAAGGGCCACAGATTTCTGAAACAAGACTTTTGCAGGTCTAAACTCAAATGTCCTTAGCCTCTAATCAGTTGTAGAATAGGGATCAGGTATTGATAGGGCTCAGGTTTTATCCAAATAAAAACTACTGCAAGTGCACAGCAAAGCAGTCGTAGTATAAGGGGTATCGAATCCCAAAGGAGTATGTAAACTACACTAGCGATTTCAGATTTAGATTAAGCTAAGCAATAGATAGTGTATGTAATGTGAAATAACAAAATAAAATATTTCAGGTGAAATTTGGTTGTTCTAAGATTCAAGAGACTAAAAGCGCTAAGTCAAGACAGTTTGCAAGTTGAGTCCGAGAATGTAGAATGCATGAAATCAGGAATGATTAAGAACCGTCTTGAACATGAATCGCAAATATATAACTAATCAATTCTCATTGCAGAAGTTAACTATGCCTAAATCACAGAGTTTCAAATCTCTTTGCAAACCCTAACAATCTAAACATGCAGTAATGATCAGGTTCAATTGTTCACAAACCTCCTAAGCCAAATCTCTTTGCAAATAGGCATTTTGCTCATCTAATGCTAGATCAGGTTATCAATGATGCTCTCACATATATTAAACAACCTATGATTTTCGGATTTCTAGATGATGTGTCTAAGAAATCGATTTTCAAGCAAGCAGAGATGAAGAACCAAAAGATAATCCTAACAGATAGCAATTCTACAAACTCTTCATCAACCTTTGAAAAGCCTTAACTCAACTAGCAAATTACTCAGACATGATCATGGAATCACAAAACATAACTGAATAAAATTGCATTGAAAGAATGAAATAAAAAAAGGGGTTCAAAATCTTCTCCAAAAAGAGTACATGATCTGTCTCCCCAAAAGCTCTCAATAAAATCCTTTCTAAGCTCTTTGAATTCTCAAAAACTAAGATCCAAGCCAACAATGGCAGAAAACCTAATTTATACAAGCTAAAACACGATCTGGGGTGTTCTTGCAAATACTGGAACTTCTGGGCCAATTCTGCAAATAATCTTTAAACTTTTAATAAAACAGCCATGCTCCTTCCTTTATGGGTGACGAGCGTCATCCAAATGCATACTTTCTTCTCCGAGTTGCACACTTCATGGCTTCATCTTGCAATGCTCCAAAAGGCTTCAATATCTCCAATTATGCTCCAGACATGCTATAACCTGCAAAGACTCTACTAGGACACTAAAAAGACCAAAAAGACTCAATAAAAAGGATTTATACCATGGCTAAAAACCATAAAACCCATGATATATCAACTCCTCCATATTTAGTTTTTGCGTGCCCTCAAGCAAACATCAGAAAGAGAACAGGGTCGAGGTTTGAAAACAGAAACAGTCAGCTAAGCATCAGGAACACCACATTAGTTAACACTTTCAAATCCACATACCACAGAGTTAACACAAGATCAAATTTCAGTCTAATCATCACAAGCTTAGCAAATCTCTCAAATCCAATCCAAATCCCTTCAAGAGATCCGAAATCTCTACTGGTAACTCCTTATTTTCATCTAAGTGTGATATCTCATCAAGGTTTTATCATCTCAATCACTTACAGATTCTTTTCCCTTCCTAAACAACTGAACAAACCAATCTCAACAGCTCTCCTAATTTCTCTTCCCTTGATCTTTTTCTTTCTTATTTTTTCCATTTTTCAACTCTTTTCTCATTTTTTACAGTCTAAGATATCGTGCTACTCAATACTTGTGTTCTTTGTGAGGAGACAGGTTCTTGAGTGTGTTC